AGAAGACGTTACATAATCACCAACGCTAATGGCTAAAATATTTTACAATCAATGTCTTTTATTAGTTAATGACATCAACCACCTGTGCCAGGGGCCGGCGCTGACCCCGATTCACAGATTCAGGATTTCAGCAGCTCCCATTTGCTCTTCCCACTCGCCAAGCCACGTGCACCGAACCTCTGCAGAGAGACAAGGTTTCCCGACTCCCCGAAACGGGGAGTCCCACGCGCCTCTCCTGTCTTCCCCTGGGCGATGCATTCATCTCGTGATTTTCCGGCAAAGCCACCCGTGGGGTTGAGCTCTCCGGGATAGACACGCGGTGTCTTGTCCTCATCACGATGCTCCCAGCATCTGCGTTGACTATTCAGAAGTGTTTCAAAAACTCTGAAATGTATATCCTCCCTCCCAGGCTCTTGGGGTCTTCAAAATCCCCAAGGTAATGAAGAATCAATACAAACTCGTATTTTAAAATTCACTCACATTTTTTTGGTTGAAGTGGCTTTCATCATAACTTTACAGAAGCCGCAGGTGCCTTGGGCGAGAATACGTGCACAGATACCACACCCAGTTCGCCACTCAAAGCCCTCGTCTACCCCTCACCCTACGATTCACCCGTTTGACCCAACTGACCCACCCCACACCCCTTTCCTTCAGCCATTACTGTGGTCTTGCCGTCCAAATGTCTACTTCTCTTCTGGCCAGACCATTGGTTGACTTGATTTCTCTGTGCACCACACGTGGATAACTGCATGGTAGTTCATTCTCCAACGGACTAAATTCCACTTAGCACAATACCCTCCCCAGTCAACCTTGAATGGCAGGGGCTCACCTTTTTCACAGCTGAGTAGTATTTCATAGTCTGTCAACTTTGAGCGATCATCTGTTGATGGGCACTAAGGTTATTTGTAACCTTTGGCTACAAAAAAATGTAATGTAGCACGGGCCTCCAGCCCTCTCTTCAAATAGTGTTTGTTTTTCGTACTCTTCAGGTAAATAGCCAGACGCGGGATAACTGGATGCTGTGGAGTTTCTATTTTTATTTTTTTGAGGAATTCCATCCTGCTGCACCAATTAACATTCCCAAAACGAGGGGATTGCATGAGGGTCCCCTTCTCTCCACATCATCGCCAACATCTGCCTGTCGTCCTGTGGACAGGAGCCACTCTCATGGGTGTGAAGTGATGTCTCGTTGTTGTCTGGGACTTCACCGATAATAACGAAGCTGTTGGTTCCAGAGGGTTTTACCGGCCACTGTTTGCTGATTTCTTGCCACCAGTGAGACTCTAGACCTTCGCCCACCAGCTGAACCTGACCCAACAAACTGTGATGATTCATTTCTGCAAACTCACTCACTATCGCCCCGTCCCCCAGATTAACTGAAGTCTGTCCTTCAATTTACGCCTTCACGTCCTGGGCACCTACACCTCAATTCCAAAATATCCCGTAAGAGTGTAAACACGCTACAGCAGGTCACCTACAGAGACATGTTCATTGAAAACAGAACACGGACAACACGCACAGCTTTCTGATGTGACATTATGCTGGTGGCTGTACGTTGAGGGGGTGAGGAGAAAAGCTTTATATTCAGTATTAACGAAAACACAGCTCAAGAGGGTTTCATCGCAGACAGCTGGGATAGGGATTTTGCCTTATGATAAATTTGTTATCTTCCTGGAGTACCAAGCGTTTCATGAATTCAGCCAGAGTTGCCAATTTAGAAAGGTATGGTATTCTTTTTTCTTTTTGAAAGATTTATTTATTTATACAAGAGCTGGGGTGCAGGCCAGAGATGCGGGGGTGAGCGGATTCCCCAGAGACAGGGTGGGGAGCAGAACAGGTGGAGCCACTGAAATCCACTGCTGAGGGGAGCAGCGGGGAGACAGGAGAGGTCTGCTGTGCCATGTGGGTCAGCCAGGGATCGAACTGATGCTGCAGTGACTTCAGAGAGCTTCATAGTGCTGAGACTTGACCCCTGTGCCACCAGGGAGGCCCAGTATTGTTCTTCTACAAAAGACAGTGACTCTGGAGCCTCCCCATTGGCACAGCGGTTGAGCACTGGGTTGCGAAGCTGCCCGCAGCCTCTGCAGCGCCGGTTCGATCCCCGGCTGCTCCCCGGCCACCGGAGGAGGGTCCCGCATGGCGCGCAGACCTCTCCTGCCGCCCGCTGCTCCCCTCAGCAGTGTCCTTCGGTCCTTCTGCCTGCTCTGCTCCCCGCTCTGGCTCTGGTGAATTCTCTCACCCTCCCGCGCTTCTGACTGTACCCAGTGCTTGTATAAATAAATAAATAAATAAATAAATAGATAGATAAATGGATGAATGAATAGATAAATAAATAAATAAATAAATCTTAAAAAAAAAGAATTAAAAAAAGAAAAAGACAGTGACTCTGATATTGAGTTAAGAACTGGAAAACCACCCATTTCGCCATCAGTAACATTCACTTCATCTTCCAAACACAGACGTTCTGGTCAGAAATAACAGTGAAATCCACTCAAGCGAAAGAGATTGTATTTATGTTCTAGACACAAAACATTTTAATTGCATTCGAAATAGAATCATTTGCAAGTAAGGCCATCAAAGTGCTTTATTTTTCCCCCACAAGAAAATGTTTATTTAGGGCCAAAGGTCCAGGTTTATCCATGTCATTGCAAATGACCAATTTTATCTTTTTCATAGCTGAGTAGTATTCCATTGTGCCTAGAGACCACATCTTTCCCCACTCAACCGTCAAGGAGCATTTTGGTTGCTTCCAACTTTCCAACTCTATTACCTGAGTAATTCTGCAGTGAACATGGGCGTGCAGAGATCTTTTCAAGTTAGTGTTCCTTTTCTTGACTGCATATTATTCCATCATGTGTCTATACCGCAGTGTGCTCATTCATTAATCCACCAGTGAACATTTGGATCATTTCTTTCTTTGGATTATTGTGAATAGTGTTTCTGCGACTTTTCATGCCTGAGGACTTGTTTGAGTTGTTTCTATATATTGATCAGATAGATGAGTCACATGAGCCATTACACTGACCTTTCCGAGAGGATGTCTATCAATATATTACATGGGCAAATCTTTCCCATTATCAAATGATTTTTAAATTAAATTTCACTTGAAATATGCTGTCCAGTATGTTCTCTTTGGGGCCATATATTGTCACTGGTACAACATTCTGCACCTCAGGCGTTTTAGAAAGTTCTGTGGAGAAAATGTAATAACTTTGCTGGGCCCTTTAATTTCTGAACTTATTTGACCACAGATGCACCTGCTTCTTCTCACTGTACTTCCTATTAACAATCTGTGGAATCCAATTTATTTTACTTGCAACCCAGTAAATTGGAGCGAGAAACCCAATGTTTGTTTGTCCTTCTTAATTAATCAACATGTCTGGGAACTTTCCCAGATGAGTAGAAGGTTTTCCCTTCCCTAACACCCAGTGTTTCTTTGCAACTTTTGAGTCGAAGAGAAAATTATTCAGGAGGTTATGCCCGCGGGATAGTCCACGCACCGTGGGCTCATGGCCTCCGCACATGAGAGGCAAGCCACGAGCAGATGTTGTGAAAATGAACCAGAATTAGAGTCCACCTCCCCGCTGGTGCCTCCAAGGGGCATTTCTGGGGGTGTCCCAGCCGCCTCGGGGGCTGTGCTGTTTGCAGTGGAGAACAGACATGTCCCCGGTTACCATGGAGCTGGCAACATCTCCCAACGCTGCTCCAGCCTCTTAGCCAGCATGTGCAAGGACCTGGGAGCAGCTTCGTGCAAACACTTTTACAAGCAGAAACTTTGATTTCTGAATTCCCAGAAAGAGTTTATATATAGGGAAACCATGTTAGGGTTATACTGTCCAAGGGCCATGAATTAAATGAGCGCACACAGAGGGATTATTTTGAATACGAAAAGCAAATTACAAGGATTGGAGGGGGTGGGTTTGCGGGCTTGTTCCAGAGGCCGCCCACGCACCCCTGCCCTCCTCGGCTGGCTGGGGTGAGGGTGTCGAGCGCTATTAAGAAAAGTTGATTTAATGATGTCTAGAGCTAATAATGGGATGTTTTAAAAGCATGTTAGATTTCAGTGGGAAGACAACTCCTTGACTATGACTTATCCTATAAAGTTGGTCTCATTGTACTCTCAAATTCTTGGTGATTTCTTGCTACTATGATGTTTTTTAAAATAAATATTTACATGTTTGTGTACATTTACATATAACACACGTGTATATAATATCGGTAGAGATAGGTGGGAAGATATGTGATAGGTAACAGATAGAGGTGGATGGATGGGTGGATGGATGGATGGATGGATGGATAGATGAGTGGATGGATAGATACATGGATAGATGGGTAGATGGATGGATGGATGGATGGATGGATGGATGGACAGACAGACAGATACAGAGATAGATAGATAGATAGATAGATAGATAGATAGATAGATAGATAGATAGATAGATCGATAGATCAATAGATAGAATGGATAGATGGATGATGGATGGATGATGGATGATGGATCGATGATCAATGGATGATGGATGATGGCTGGATGATGGATGGATGGATGGATAGATATATAGATATATAGATAGATGGTTATATGAATGGATGGACAGACAGATACAGAGATAGATAGATAGATAGATAGATAGATAGATAGATAGATAGATAGATAGATAGATAGATAGATAGATAGATAGATAGATAGATAGATAGATAGATAGATAGATAGATAGATAGATAGAATGGATAGATGGATGATGGATGGGTGATGGATCAATGGTCAATGGATGATGGATGGGTGGATGGATGGATGGATGGATGGATGGATGGATGGATGGATGGATGATGGATGATGGATGATGGATGGATGGTGATAGATACATCCGGGAGAGAGAGATGACCTGGAAATGCCTGACCATTTTGTGCAGCATGTTGTCATATCAGAGGCTAAAAACCACTGCTCGAAGCCAACAAAATGGCTCCCGAGACATGGCTTGTCAGACATACCAATTTCCCAGTGAAGACAACCCCTTCCATTGCTGATGCATTCCGCCCCGTGTGCGTCCTTCTCATGCCCCCGCTCTCTCTGACCCTTCATCGTGAGTGTCCAGCAGATCCATCTCTCCATTCCAGAGCGGGTGGGGTGGAAGCCAAGAGGAGTTAAGTGCAACATCCAAATTCCCTGGTAGGAGGAGAGGAAGCCAAGATGTAAATTGAGATATTGTGACTTCAAGCTCGCCGCTCTTTCTCCTGCAGGAAATGTGTTTATTGGAATCTTAGTAATTCACTCTGAAAACCGTCGCTGTAGATGGAGACTGCCGAACGGGAAAGCCTTTATAAAATGGGCTTTTGCAGAGTTTGCTCAAAAACCAAGCGCATAACTGCTCTGCACATTTAAAGAGCTGGCTCCCTCCTGCCTCCCTCTCCCTGCTCCACCCTCTCCTTTTTTAAAATGCGTAAGGCTGTGATTTTGTTAAGAACAGAAAATAAAAGCAGTGGAATAAATCAGCTCTTAGCACAAAATGAATAATAAACGACCTTCTGAAAGCAGCTAAATCCCTCCCCACCCTGCTCCAGCAGAAGTCCAGAACCTACTGCGGGATTTCCAAACTCCACAGCTGCCTCCAGCATGGCGATGAGGACCGAGCCATAAATCCTAAGATGGTGGACTGACCTCAAAGGCAGCGTCCAGCCCTTAAATCACTTTGCTCCCCGCGCGCTTTGTAACACCGTTGGAAACATCCCTTGGGAAATTAAGGAAGCCTGTTTGTTACGATGTTGGAGACGTGGACAACCTGGGGAGTGATATTTTCTATGTGATTAGAATTCTATCATCAAGGCCTGCCCGCTAACGTAAATAAATAGTCCCGATAATTACAAATGTCAACTGTTTCACTCTATTAATGACGCTTCCCATTCTTCCACGGTAAATGATGCTTTCAATATCATGTCTTGATTATTTTCTTAAAGTGACACACTGTGCCTTTCTCCAAACTAGGTAAGTCACCCAGATCTAAAACAAAACCCTAGTGAGGACTGAAACAAAAAAAGTTGTAGTGAAATCACTCAGGACTGTTTTCTTCCACCGTCCAAGAAACTGGAAAGATGTGGTGACCAGTAAGTCTGGAATCAACATCTACAAAATGTCAAGGTGCTTCATCACAAAGAAACGATATTCCGATCGATATTTCACTCACTCCATTTGTTGAATCGTAAAAATGAGCTGACATAAAGTCTCACAAGGAGTTTCTGAAATGCTTGTAGGACTTCATGAAGACGTAAGTCTTTCCAAATCACTGGGAGCCACTGGGCGGAACATTTGATGATGTTCGGTGTCTGGGTGAACCCCCACTTTCGAGCAAATACCCCAAAACAAACCACCAAGAAGGCATTTAGGTGGGAGAACACGACCAATTTGATCACAGGATTGTTCAAGAAGAGCTGAGGCCCTAGGACAGATTCTTGGTCATGAAAACATCACACACCTAATATCCAGCCATCATCTGTGTTCATCCATTCATCACTCCACATCTTGGTTATTCCAGTTCATGGTCACAGAGGGGTCATCCCACAGCTGATAGTCAAGGGGTACCCACAGCTGGACAGGGGGCCCCTCCAGGACACCCCACGTTCAGGCCGATGAGGACCGTGGAGACTCACCATGAAACTCACGTCTTTGGGATGCGGGAGGAAACTGGGACCCCCAGATCAAAACCATGCAGTCATGTGAGAACACACCAAGACCTGACAGTTGCCAAGAATCCATTGCTTCTTCTCATCAAGGTCATAACCAAACCCCATTATTGGGGTCCTGCCATCACCCAGAGCAGATCGTCCGTGGCACCCTGGGATCCACTCCCTGGGAAAGCACGAGCAGACGATCTTGGCTTCCTCTGTTGAGAACGTTTGTCACCGTGACTTCTGGTTGAATCAACTCCCCTATTACATTCCTGGAACAATAGTTGGGATAGAGAAGGACCCCAGAGAGTTGGGGTCTGTTGGTTCCAAGATGGACAAGGTTGAGGAGCAGATGCGTCCCTAGGCTTCATCCAAAGCACCTGCCTTTTGTGTGTGTGTGATGACAAAAGTAATTTTAAGTCCTATCAATGCTCCATGTCTTGATTTTAATTATATGGGTAATTGGGTGGTTTGGGAGCATGTCATTCTTCGGAGACAGACTGAATTATTAGAAATATAGGGGGGAGAAAGAGAGAGAGGGAGGGAGGGAGTCATAAATCAAAAATGCACTAGAAGAAAATGTAGACAACTGGTAAATCAACATAAATGAAGACGAGAGGATGACCCTCGACCATCCTTGCGATTCCTAGACCAAACACTCAGTATTAATCAATATTAATATGATTGCATCCACCTGATTTGAACACTTCGGTCTGTATTTATTGCCACTGCCGTGCTTTGTGGGAATCTTCCAGTCTAGGAATAGTGTCGTTGTCGTCTCTCAACACCACGCAGCTCCGAATTTTGCTTTGAAATTAGTCCTCGGGAGGGTCTTGGTCCTACAACTTGTAGGGGGGAGTTTTGCCAAAATGTAGAAGCTTAACTCTAGAAGAACGGGGCCTGCCTCGGAGCACAGACGGCCTCTTGCAATTGGAAAAGTGCTTTTGGGCAATTCAGCATTAAAAGGAGAGAGGGCTTCGAGGCTGGGGAACTCTATTAAACTTCCTTTTAATAATAAATGCTGTTTTTGCAAAGAGAGGCGTCTCATTAACCGTCGTCAGAACCATTTAAAGGGAAATCATCCTTTAAGTATACATTTCTCATTTCCCCACGGTTCGGTTTTTTAATTTTTCTGTCCCCTTGTGAAAGATTTTCTGCTCTTTTTTCACCCCCTTTCAAATTTGACTGGAAATAACTGTTTTAATCCAGACAAAGTGATAGAATCCACATAATAAGCTTTTTGCTTTTTACCACACAGCAAATAATAGAGCCTGTGGGTAATTCACTTTTTTCCAAATGCGGTCATTTTTTTTTTTTTCTTTCCCCTAAGCATTTGCAAAGCATTTCTGGACAAGGTTCACAAGAGCACTTTGGTGCATTAAAAGGCAAAATTCCACAGCCGGTTCCCAGATATTTTTCATCCACCAAATCACTCTGTCTTATTTTCTACAAGGCCCAGGTTGCCGTTTTAAAATAAGAAAATGCTTTCGATATTTAAGCGTGCGACTTGCAGGCGATGGGATGAAGATTTACCAGAGTTTGCCGGGGGGAGCTAGTCACTTTGTGCAGGGCTTCAGCCCTTCGAGAAACTCACACTTCACGCCCTTTCTGACTTTTGAAACTTCAGCGATTGACCTTTCTGCTCATTATCCACCGCGACTGTCCGCGTTGTCCGTGGTGAAAGATCCAGCTGACTTTGAAATGTGGCCTCGGGTCCCGGAGGAGGACGGGCCGAAGGATCATATGAATAGCCCTTCACGGCGCCTGTGGAATGGAAAATTCCCAGCAAACTCTTCCCATTTCGATGTGCTGGTCTCGCCTGAAGCCAGAATCACTTGGAGGTTGACGTCTTCCAATTCTGCAGCAACTATTGTAGAAAAAGCCTGCCGGGCTATATCGCTATCCCGGCGCTGGTGTCGGAGTAGGCCGTTTGCATGGGGCCAGCGGGAGGTGGGAATCATACATCAACAGCCGAGACCGACACAAGTTAGGGTCTGCCTCGGTCTTGGTCTTTCCGGAGTGAATTCCCTTCAACCCGGGGGTCTTAGCTGCAGGCTGCTCCGGTGTCAGCTCAGTATGTTATAGGGCAGCCCCGATATTGAGCGGGTGGCCTGGCTGTGGGTCCTCCCCCGCGCGCTTACAAGGGACTTACGGATACTCCACTGCAGGACACACAACAGGTTCATAAAGGTTTATTGACAAGGGAAAAGGAAATAAGGAAAATGTACAACTCAGGGAGAAAATAGGGAAATAAAGTCTTTACTGCGTCCTACCCGATCCGCCGACCTGGAAACCCAAAGTCACTCTCAGAGCTGGCCGGACGCTGCGAGCTGGCGGGGAGCCAACATGGGGGACCCCCCAAAGCCCACGTGTCTGGCTTTATACCCACCTGGCTGCTGAACCCCACCCTCAGGTCCCAGCCCCCTTCCCTTGGGTGGGGATGGGATGTGGAGTCCCCAGTGTCTTTGGCTTTGGCTTGGGGTGGGGGTGGCGTCCACAAAGCCTGTATGGGATCAGCTTCAGGACAGCCTTTTCCCCCTAACAATTAGGGCACTGATCCCGCAAGTAGGAAAAGGATAAATCTATCCCAGCCACTATTAATCGACCAAGAGAGAAACAACTTCTTCCTCAAACACAGGTGAAGCGAAAGATGCTTCTGTTCCTGCCACCGATCTGGACCTCCACAGGCCTCCCCAGTCTTCTGCTCAGCTCACAGAACTCAGGGAATATCATCAACAGTCGCAAAATCCAACTTAACTCAGGAAGGTGAGCGAGAAGGAGCTAGAAGTGGAGGGAGAAGGTGGAAAACCATCAAAACCTGAGCGGGCGTTTCAAAAAAAGAGCAGAAAGGAGTTTTCTGAGGTCCGTTGGGCCTTTGGGAGGAAAAAGTTCTGGGAGAGAAACCAAAGCCCCTTTGCTGGAATTCTCGGGATAATTCGTACAACTCGCCTTGTCTTGATTGTGTTCTTGAATTCTCCGCTTTTTCCCTGTTTCATGGAAATCGAAACTCCCTTGGCGGTGCGAACAGCCAGCGGCCTGAGTCACTTCTAATAAGTTCAGCCTCTCTAGCTGCAAATCTGAGTAAAAAAATGCCTTTAATATTCTTGGAAGTCTAATAAGAAGGAACACAGAGTTTTGCTGAAAGTCAGCTTTTAAGAATTTGCTCAGAAATTGGCTCCCTGTGGAGAACGGAGGCTGGGTGGTGGCTTTTACTCTCTTGTTGCCACGGGGGGGGGTCCCCCAAAAAAGGGAGGTTGCAGGTTCTCTGCCCCCCACCCAGGGAGGGTGGAGCTGAGCAGGGAGAAGCCACAGAGGAGCTCGGGACAGGAGGCGGCTGGGGGAGGCCCGTGGGCAGAGACAGGGGAGAAACTGCGCTGGCTTCTTGGCCTTCGACCTGTCCAGGGACTCGGGGACACTCGGTAGAGACAGAGGCGCAGGGTGAGCCCGTGAGGAGGTGACTGCGGCCGCCTTTGTCTTGACTTGGGTTGGGTTTTTCTCCTTGGCTCCCAGCCCTGCCTGGCCCCTCCTGTTCCTCTCTTGTGGGTCCCCCAGAAGGAGCCTTACATAAGGGGCACACTCTTGGGGCTCAGGGGCCCTGCTTTGGTTGGACATTGACCCACGAGGGGGCAGCGACTCTGGATGCTTGATTTGGAGACACTAATCTTTCCCTTTTCTGCCTCGCGCACTCATCGTATCCAAGTCCCTTTGCACGGAGGGTCTCATGCACTCGCGTGTGTCTGTCTTGATGCAGCGGAAGGCAGCACCCATTCAGAGCAGGCAGGTTTGGGGGTTCTGGGGTCCCCCTCGCCTTGCCCTGTAACAATCCAAATTCTGGTTCCTGAGTAGTAGGATGAGAGGCTGGGTGGGTCCCGGGAAGTGCTGGCAGGCTGCGCAGATGGCAGGTAACAGGGTCCTCACCGCAGCCACATCGTGATGCTAAAGGGAAAACAGCCCCGTTGGCTGTCGATGGGCTTTGGCCAGCAGAAGCCTTAGGAGCCAATTTCAAAAACAAATCAGAGACCTAACGGCAAATGTTAATGCCCAGACGGACACCAGAAGTGGCAGCTGCGCACTGAGGAGACACCTTCTCCCCACAAACGCCCCTCCCAAGCTGTGTGACCCCAGAATTTCCTCGACCTCTCTGTGCCACATGTCCATCCATTTAATCATCTATCTAGGTAGTTGGCTAGCTATCTCCGTCCATCCGTCCATCCATCCATCCATCCATTCTCCATCCATAATCCATGCATCCATCCATCTATCCATCTATGCACATATCTATCTATCTATCTATGTAACTATCTATGTATCTATCCATCCACTCATCTATCTATTTATCTGTCTATCTATCTATCCATCCATCCATGATCCATGCATCCATCCATCCATCCATCTATCCATCTATCCATGTATCTATCCATCCACTTATCTATTTATCTATCTATCCATCATCCATCCATCCATCCACATATCTATCTATCTATCTATCTATCTATCTATCTATTTATCTATGTAACTATGTATCTATCTATGTAACTATCTATGTATCTATCCATGTATCTATCCATCCACTGATCTATCTATTTATCTATCTGTCTATCTATCTATCTATCCATCCATCCATAATCCATGCATGCATCCATCCATCCATCTATCCATCTATCCACATATCTATCCATCCACTTATCTATCTATCTATCCATCCATCCATAATCAATGCATCCATCCATCCATCCATCCATCCATCCATCCATCCATCCATCTATCCATCCATCCACATATCTATCTATCTATCTATCTATCTATCTATCTATCTATCTATCTAACTGGCTAGCTATCTAATGGAATACTATGCAGCCAGGAAAAATGAGAGAGTCATGTCATTTATGGTAGCATGGAGGAGCTGGGAGGGATGATGCTGAGTGAAAAGAGTCAGAAGGAAAAAGACAAAACTTGCAGACCGACCGTAGATCTGAGACATCCAGGAAGGGAGGACAAGGTCCAAACAGGAGGGAAGAGCTCAAGGGATGGTGGTGATGGTCACGGGGTCCAGGGTGGTGGGAGAATTATGGGGACCACACCTGAGGGGAGAAACCAGAATCTGTCCAAAAATAAACAACAGTGTAAGAAAAGAAATAAATTTGTAAAAAAGGATAAGTGACGCGGTACCGGCCAATGCATGACAGAAGTGACAGGGCACCATCCACGGCATTGTGAGGTAGACACTGCATAACTAAGCAAGAGTTAGCACAGCCTTGACTACTTCATTGCACGTGACTCGGGCAGAAGGTGGCACCACAGGGACCTCCACAGCCCTCACGAGGACAGGAGAGTGTGTTCTGGTGGCAGGCGGCAGCTACGCTCACGAGGTGCTGAGTTCACAGCACAAGCCAGCGTCAAGGCACAATGCCATGCACCTGGCATTTGCAGCTCAAAGAAAACCACCCCCATTGGGTGTTTAATCACACACACGGTCATTTCATGGACTTATGAACATGCAAAAATAGAGATGCCGAGAGAAGCCCTCAGAGAACTCGGACTTGTCGTAAATGGTAACACAGGATGTGAAAGTAGCTGCAAAGTGCCACATCGCCTATAAAGTCAGTGATAACATAAACAGCAAGCGATGCCATCACGAGAATCTACATGGATATATAAGATACATGATGTTGAGCGTGTTTACTCTAACGTGGTGTAATAGCAGACGGATCATCTTTGCAGGCGACGTGAAAATGAGGATAGTCACAACAGTGTCACAAAACACAATATGGTATTTTAGAGATGCATAATAGGCTAATACTCGAGGGGCTGGCATAGAACAATGTGGGATAGAACACTAATAGGATTCATTGATACAGTAGATAACATGTCGCAGTGGATGATATGACATCATAATGATATGACACAATAGATGACATGACATCATGGCAGATGGTATGCCATTATAACAGATGATGTGATGTCATGATAGATGTCATACCATCACAAAAGATGACGCGGCGTCACAACAGATGGCTTGACATCATAAAGATATGACATAATAGGAGATGTGACATCATACCAGATGGTATGACATCATAACAGACAGTATGAGATTGTCATGATATGACAATAGATGGTATGACATCATAATAGATGCTATGACACCACCACAGAGGCTATGCCATCATGTTGTATGGCGTGACATCATGACATATGGTACGACATCATCATCCCCTACAACCATCAAACCACGCGGAACAGCACTGGAATGCCACGGATTAGCAGAAAGTCGCGTGTTCAGGAAAAACACGCACCGACAGTGTCTTCCCGGGCGTCTGAGACGGTTTCCTCTGCTGCACTCACAGCCAAGGGGAAGGCGCCGACTGGAATCACCGCACACATCTTGGGCCACCTCCCAGGCAGACGGACGCCAGTGGACGGGGCACGTGGACTTGAGAAGGACGTTTTGTCCACATCGAGGACACGCTCCCCCTCAGTGACAACACCCACGTATGATTTCTAGGCCAATTCTCAAATTTCTAGACAGGTAAGTGGATTAGTTAATATCCCTACAGGCTCCTGTTTCTTAAAGTTCCGAATGTTGTGATTTCCACTGCATGGCCGCTGCGGCTTGGTGCCGTGTGTCCTGGGCGTGAGAACAACGAAATCAAGAGACAAGGAAGCACAGAGGGAGGGAGAGAGTAAAGGTTGTCACAGACTCCCCTTTAATTCCCGCCGCCGACACGATCAAGTTCACCGCGGCGACTCCAGAACATTTCATGGGGAGATGCCTGGCTGCATGGAGGCCGTGGCTGCTCGGTAGAATAATAACGTCCTCTCGTTTTATGCCTCACCCAAAACCTAAATCTAGCGGCACACGGTGGTGAAATATGCCCGCTCCATCATTCCGCCCAGCCGAAAAGATTTCAAGAGGCGAAAACAAGATGAGCAAACCCCCCCTGGACACGTATGTTTTCCGCAGCGCTTCCCCCGCTGCAGGATATTTGCGATCTTGCTTGGAGCGTAACTTACCCAGAATCGGAGCGATGCTCCATCAAGATATGAAATTCAGGATAAACAGCGGTCCCTGCCCCACTCCAGGCCTCTGGCGGAGTCACGGAGCTTTGCCAACGCGCTGCTAAATCATGCCTGCGGCTGAAAAGACCAATATCTGACTCGTTTTCTAGGATTTAATGTAAGATTTTATCTCAGCATCTATTTTGTTTTGGAGATTCATTGTATAGCGTTGCTTTCCAAGAACTAACGTGGTGCTGAACAGGGTGCATTTCTGGTAGCTTTTACTTTTTTAATATGTTTATTGCAGTCACGTTGCCTTACATGGTTGTTAGCGTTGGGTCACCACACCTCAGCCAACTCCAAACTCCCCACCGGCCTCCACCATCATGCAGGAGGTACCTCTCCCTCTGGAGGCCTCTGATCCATAGTCAGCTTCCACAGGGTAGTTTTTCAGGTTGTCTTTATCTGACCCCTCGTTTCCCTGTATCCCACATAGAAGTGACACCCCCCGGTATTTGTCTCCTTCTGACTTATCTGACTCAGCATCATCCCTCCGAGCTCCATCCTCGTTGCCGCAAATGGAATCCATTTACCTTTTTGATTGCTGAGTAATATTCCACCGTGCACATAGACTACCTCTTAATAAAGGAAATAGGTTGTTGGGGGAATTTAAACAATTCTGGAAGGATTTCTGTAGATTTTATAGTTTCTGGAAGGTTTTGATAGCTTTATGTGTTTTATTTTATTTTTTTTTATAGAGGCATGTTTTTATTTATTTATTTGTTTGTTTGTTTTGTTTATACATGCACTGGGCACAGTCAGAAGCACGGGAGGGTGAGAGAATTCACCAGAGCCAGAGCGGGGAGCAGAGCAGGCAGAAGGACTGAAGTACACTGCTGAGGGGAGCAGCGGGCGGCAGGAGAGGTCTGCGCACCATGCGGGACCCTCCTCCGGTGGCCGGGGAGCAGCCGGGGATTGAACCGGCGCTGCAGAGGCTGCGGGCAGCTTCGCAACCCAGCGCTTAACCGCTGCACCACTGGGGAGGCCCATTCCATGGGGTAGTTTTTAAGGTTGTCTTTATCTGACCCCTCGTTTCCCTGTATCCCACATAGAAGTGACACCCCCCGGTATTTGTCTCCTTCTGGCTTATCTGACTCAGCATCATCCCTCCGAGCTCCATCCTCGTTGCCACAAATGGAACCAATTTACCTTTTTGATTGCTGAGTAATATTCCACCGTGCACATAGACCACCTCTTAATAAAGGAAATAGGTTGTTGGTGTAATTTAAACAGGGATACATCCATGGCAATTCTGGAAGGATTTCTGTAGATTTTATAGTTTCTGGAAGGATTTTACAGCTTTATGTTTTTTAAAGATTTATTTATTTATACAAGAACCAAGGTACAGGCCAGATGTACTGTAGAGTGAGAGGATTCCCAGAGACAGAGCGGGGAACAGAACAGGCAGACTGATGAAATCCACTGCAGAGGGGAGCAGCGGGCGAGACAGGAGAGGTCTGCTGTGCCATATGGGTTGCTCCGCGGCCAGCGGGGATCAAACTGGTGCCGCAGAGGCTGCGGACAGCTTCACAGTGCTGCGCTCAACCACCTGCGCCACCAGGGAGGCCAGGATTTTATAGCTTCATAAAGGGAGGCCATTTTTCTGGGGGAAAAAAATTGAGAAACCAGGAAGCTTTGAGAATGTGAATAAACATTTCTTCTTGGAAGGGCTGGAGACCATCACAAAATTAACGAGCTTCTGCAGTCTGTATCGAGTTCTGGGTATCCTAAGAAGACATTTTCCTAGCTCCCAATCTTGGTGCGATTCTTTTTGGTGAAAGGCTTTCTTGATTTAGGCGCCATATTGATCTACCCACATCAGACACGTAGAGTTGGGACTTTCAATATTGCAACAGCTCCTTTAAAATAACCCCAGGGTTTGAGTATAGGACATAATGTGGTGGTCCTCGACTGGGAAGATTTAATTCCCCAGGGAACATGGTAGTAGCTTGAGTTTCTTTTTAAGAGAAATATTTTTTCGATCATTATAATTGGAGAGTTGGATTAAATATAAAGCAAAGGGCCTCCCTGGTGGCGCAGGGGTTAAGTCTCAGGCCACTATGGCCTGAATCCGACACCCGGGCAGGGAGTGACCCAGGGGCACAGCAGACCTCTCCTGTCTCCCGGCAGCTCCCCTCAGCAGTGGATTTCAGTAGATCCGCCTGTTCTGCTCCCCACTCTGTCTCTGGGGGATCCTCTCACCGCCCCACACCTCTGGCCTGCACCCCAGCTCTTGTGTGCATCAACAAATCTTTAATAAACAAATATAAAGCAACATAAAAATAAAATATTTTGAAATCCCACACAAACTGCGCAAAATGAGGAAACTAAAAAACAAAAATAAACCTTTAGACGATGGGACCAAAGTCCTGGTGACGGGAGGGGAAACACATTGAGTCAGATCAACCGAGCTCAGCCGTGCAGGAAGGAGGTGACTGGGTTCAGCCGCGTACACGTGGCCTCACCGTGGCGCGCACCTGACATTTATGCAATGCCGTCAGGCGATGCTGGGCCAATGGTGATTATTTGAGACGTGGCAGGTGATCCTGGCATCTACAAGACACCAGGGCACTCCTAAGTGTGTTCCAAGGCACAGCACTGCCCCCCAGAACAAAGAACGAGCCCGTCCCCAATACCAAAGTTCCCGGAAATCCTCACACGCTTGGCATCGCCATCGACAAGGCTCATTTGTCTTTCCGTAGTGTTCTATGCTGGTGTATTTACCTCGCGGTCGGGCAGAGGGTTTAGGGCCACGCACACCCGGCTTCCTCGGGGCTGTGCTTTTTCCCTTTGCACAATGAGAACGGCTGCTCCTGTGTTGGAGGCGGTAACTGCCCGAGAGACCCAGGGTAACTTCGGGTGCTGCTGGCAGGTTTCTCGTGTATAATGACTGTTCTTCTAAGGGTAACTATGGCATAAAGATAACGTAGCAATTCATCACGGAGCGTCTCCAAAGCTGACTCTGTCTGGGAGCGTGAAACAAAGGGTCTCGCTTCAAATGAGATCGGTCAGGTGGCAGCCAAGCAAAAGCAAAATCGCTCTGAATTTTCAACACCCCATTGCTGTAAATCTGACGTGCTCCCTGTTACTCTACAGTGACACGGTCCTCTGTGTCCACGGCAATTCTATGGAACCACTCGTCGCCAGTCAAAACCCACCTACGTGTCCATCGACACGGGATTACATGAGAAGTTGGGGTGCAGCGACATAAAGGAACCACCCTGTAAGTACTTAGTCAGGAAATACTGGAGATGCTCGCTATTTAAAGACACAGAATCTTGCAAGTAGCAGCAGCATGGGTGGGAGTTGGGGGTTTTGAGCTCAGTGAAGTCAGTCAAATGGAGTGAGCAAAAGCTGCGTGATTCCACTCAAGCACAGACGATAAAGAAATTCGACAGGCAAGCGAAACCGAACAAAATCAGAGTCCTGGATTCTGAGAGCAGGATGGTGGTCAGCAGAGAGGAAAGAGGAAGGTGGACGGGGTCGGGGGTGGGTGCAGCGGGTCAGGAGGGTCCATTGGATGGCGGTAGGTGGAAGCTAGACTTGCACATATAAAGACATTGAATTACGGGGCTGTAGCCCTGACACCTGTATAATGTGACATCAATTACAATTTTCCAGTAAGTTCATTCTAAAAATTGCTCTTTGAGTGGTCGTAAGACAGGTGTGGGGGCCTCCCTGGTGGCCCAGGGGGTTAAGCACAGCACCATGCAGCTATCAGCAACCACCGAAGCATGAGTTCGATCCCCGGCCAGCCAGGGAGTGACCCACAGGGCACAGCAGACCTCTCCTGTCTCCCCGCTGCTCCCCTCAGCAGCGGATTTCAGTAGATCCACCTATTCTGCTCCCTACTCTGTCTCTGGCGAATCCTCTCACCACCCACAGCTCTGGCCTGTACCCCAGTTCTTGTATGCATCAATAAATAAATCTGTTTTCAAAAAAGAAAAGACAGGTGTAGGCAATGAGCTAACTGAGCAGACTGACATGATCAACAAAACCTTCCATCGGGTCGTCGGTGAAGTCAGGACGTATTTTTTCTGCTCGCTAGGCAAAATGCATCAGGACTGTTCTGGCAACCCAATACCTAGAAATCAGCAGAACCAAAGTCTGTCATTGCTGCAGCTTCAGGTTTTCAATTCCTTGCACGCTCGGCACTGGCCACCACTGGCGCCGACGTAAGGAGAAAGGAACCCTGTCTTCGAGAAAGGCACAGCCGTCGAACGTTCGCTGCGCCAACCCCAGCGGGCGTCACCCGACAAACTCACGAGGACCTCGTCAGCATTACTAAGCATTTTGCCGTGGTGTCTCTATGATGGCAAGAGAGCCCAGCGGCCGGGAGCAAAGCCCCCCCGGCAACCACGTCCATAAATCAAACAGATCCCAGGAGGCGGCGGCGGGCTCATGGAGGGGCCGGCGTGACTTACGGCCTCCCAGGATTATTGAATCCTTAAATGAACTGTACACTCTCATTTTTAATGGGCGCGAGCAGTGGGCAGGCATAATAAAAATAATTGAAATGAGGGCTCGCGTCCATCCATCTACTCAAAAGTGCCTGGAAAAAGAAGTGAGGCAGAAAAACAGCCAAATGGATACGAGAGTCCCCGATAGATGTCATTTCTGCCTAATGGGCTCGAGGGACATCAATAAGAGAGTGAAGAGTGTGGATAATGAAGAATAAAAGTGGAAGGCGAATTCCTCCCTGGAAGGAGGAGACCCAGAGAGTAGAAAGAGTGACGCAAGCAGTCCATGTGGCCTCCCCATTGCGCTTTTGGGGGAAACAAATGGAAATGTATTATTAATGAACAAGGAAATTCACGCTGAATGCGCAAAAACCTGCCCCCCAACACCCCCATCCTGCCACTGCACCTCCCTGTTTGGAGAAACCCTCTCTGAGGCCACAGATTCATCTGAGACTTTTCCCGGGGTGGGAGCGGCGTGAGCCCCACCTCCTGTCTTTGGAGGGTTCCAGGCCATGGGCTGGCCTCCGTACCACAGATGTAAGAGGCCGCCAGGCATGGGGTCCCCACGTTGCTAAAAAGAACCCCATTTTGGTTTTGGAAGTTTCATTTCTGCTAATG